TTACACAGATTTCTGAGTTGTCCATTGGTGCAACAACGCGGGACAGCGATGCGGTCACTATCACTGCTGTTACGTGACTCACCTTTTGAGCGCCCGACGATGCCCCGAGAGGCGCCAAGGGCGCAATTCATCGCCTCCTCCTCGCACAGCCATGGAAAGCCGAGGCGATGTCCACAAATCGATGAACCAATCAAGCGCCGCGCGGTGTAGCAGGATAGGAGGGATAGGAGGCCCGGGGTGATAACGACTGCATGATCGCATTGTACAATCCGGGCGGTCGGGGCCTTCCCGCGCCACATTCTCCCCAGGTTGGGCGCAGCCCAACGGATCAGCACGAGATCGGGGCGCGGATAAGACCCTGGGCATGACTGGCGTCGCGGCGCACTTACTCCCCTCGTCCCACAACACCCCATCCGACAACCGATCACCCCCCCACGGCCCTCCCCGGGCCATCCATGGCTGAGTAAAACTGACCCAAGGGCCGCGAACCCTGTCACACCGCATCTCCAAGCGATCGCCCACGTTACCCGGCCCCCCCCCGCGGGTTGAGTAACGTCGTACATAACGCCCCACAGTCGCACCCACCCTCGAGTGGGGGCGGTCACTCATGCGCCGGCGGCCCCCACCCCACCAGACAAGGGGGAGGAGTCATGAGCGCCCAGCGTTCCGCGCGGGAACTCCCCCCGAGCAGATCCCCACGGCAGGAGGGGCGCGCCAACCCCGCCCGCCCGCGGCAATGCCGGACGGCCGCCAGTCGCCCAGCCAGGAGCCCCGGGGACGCCGGAAGGGCGGGCAGCTGGGCGTGGACGGGGGCGTGCACAGGCGAACGCGGCGACGGGAGGCAGGCTGGCGTGGCGGGCGGCCCGGCGGGGGCCCCTGCCGGGAGGAGGCCTGCGATCGCGCCTTCTCCCCGGCGGGGGTGCCGGAGCCAGAGATCCGCGACCTGGGGCTGGAGTACAGGGCCGTGGTGGCCGTGCCCAGCGTGTGCAGCGCGGACATCCGCCTGGACGTGCGCCGCGACCGCCTGACCGTGTGGCTGGTGGGGACGGGCGGGGAGTCCACGCGGCTGTGCGGGCTGGCCGTGCCGCACGGCGTGGTGTCGGACTTCATCACCGCGCAGCTGACCGGCGTCTGCCTTAGCGTGGTGATGCCCAAGGACGCGCCGGTGAGGGTGCGGATGGCCGACCCCGGGGAGGTCGCGGCCTGGGCGCCGGGGGAGGGGGTGTGCCGCGGCGGCGTGGTGGGCGACTGGCTGGTGGAGGCGGGCCCGCGGGCCTTCCGCCTGCTGCGGCCGCTGCCGCCGTCGTATTGGGGTCCGGAGGGTGTGACCGTGGAGCTGCTGGGGAACACCGTGAGTGTGTGCGGGGCGGACGGGGAGCCCATCGACGGCTTCCAGGCTCCGGGGGGTGTGGACAGGGAGGGCGTGTTCGCGTGCTGCGATCAGGGGCTGCTGCTGCTGGTGCTGCCCAGGCGCGGGGAAGGGACGGAAGGGGCGGTGGAGGAGAATGATGAAATTGAACGCTGAGTGGGTGCGGGGGCTGGGCGGGTGCAGGAGAGCGTGCGACCCCTTCGCGGTGCTCTCGCCCTGCCGGGTCGTTTTTCTTTGGCGCTGTTTTCTTTCGCTGCGGTGCGCGAAACGAATGCGTTGAGCCTGGTCGGTCTGGAGGGCGACTTGGAGGGCGATTCTATCCAGAACAGGAACGCTGCGACCGTCTTTGTTTTTGGCTTTTGTTGGGCTGGGGAGCGGCAACTCGCAGACAACAATGCAGGGTGTTTGGTGCAAATGGAGCCCAATAAGCGGCAGGGACGCTGTGACGGCGGCGGCGCTTTACCCAGCGAGCCGTTGTCTGGTCCCATCAACGACAGTGGAATAAGGAATCTGGCCAGTGGTACGCACTACGTGTTGGACGTGGCGATTCAGCGACACTTGGGTTTGGAACGGCAGCGGAACCCTGTCCGCCAAAGTTCGACCGGAAGGTCGAATGCTGCAATTTGGTGACATGTGGGCGGCGAGCGGCAGTGGGGTCTGCCTGCCGAGGCTCGAGTGGAGGGTTGGCTTCGCATGGACTGGGGAATGCTGACGTGGAGGAGGGCAGCGATGGCTGTCCGGAAATGAGCTCTCTGTAGAGACGATGTCATTTCATTTCTCTGTAGGTGAATTGCGTGGGAAGACGGACGCCCGGGCAGCTGGGGACACGGGTTCCTTGCTGTTTGGCGACCGAGGGTTTCACACCGAGTACATGGCGCCTTGTGAACTGCCAGAGTACGTGTAGGTGTTTTATCGCCTTTGCAATTGCCTGATCGAACGTCGCCATCGCTGAACGACACAGGGGCGAATGTGGAGATGATCGAACAGATGCGTGCTCTGCCTGGCATTGCGTTTTCGTGCTCAGGTGTGGTGCGCGCGTGTGAAGCAGCCCTGTGCACCACAGGTTGTTGGGCGGTGTCCTTGTGCAGCACATTAATACAGGCAGACAGTGGTACCGCTGTTGACATGACACAAGACATCAGTGCGATTCACCGGTGGCGATCCATCTGGTGGCGATCCACCTTGTGGATGGTGACCGCGTTTACGTCGCAGGTGGCTAGATGCAAGCAAGTCGCCCGGCGCCCGCTCAGCAGGCCGGAAATTCTATGTGTGTTCGTGGACATTCACATGTCACTGTACGCCAGAAGTTGACTGCGCAGCCCCCATTGCCAATTTCGGTGACCCTGCTGCAAGGAACGCCGATAGGCCACCGTCGCCATTTATGAGTGGCACCGAAAATGCTGCTGAAATGGTACATGTCAGCCCCGCTCAAGCGCGTTGGATGCTGCCACGAATTTCGTGGAATCCACGAATTTCAGCAAATCGACAATGCGCAGCCAATTGGACATGTATTGTTCGACATGGACGGCTCTCTTTGAGTGCATGGGAAGTGGGAGCGGCACCGTCATGACGCCTAACAAGCTTCTTTCGTCCCCGTTGTTACGCGACAGTACAAAGCAGTGGCTCATCCGGGCAGTTGGCCAATATCCATGCCCTTGATGGACGGCCGTCCCTGTCACTGGCGAAATGTGCCACATTAAACGGACCAATTGCGCAACCCCAGGCCACTTCTTGCGCCACTTTCGCATGTTCGTCACGTGCCGACAATCGCTGCCACCCCACACGTCAGCTCTGTCGACAGAGGCCTTCCTTCCAAGGACTGACGCTAGTCCCCATGGTATCCCAACCTCACAAATGAGATTGTGAAAAATTCGCATTGGCTGCCAAGAGTATGCGACGGCACGTCCACGTTCATCAATTAAAACTAAAAACTGACAGGTCTAAACTGAGACTGAAGTTAAATTTGGGCCAGCCAAGGTCTGCGCAGGCATTCAGCGATTTCACAACGCGCATGAGCTGCCCATTGCACGCCGAGTTTCTCGCTGTCCCTTTGTGCTGTCTTCAGTGCCCCTCCCACGGCATCGACTCACCTGAGCACTCTCAGCAATGGCGACAAGCAACACCCTGGTAGGCCAGTGGGCAAAGGCCCATTGTTTTAGCTGCACCACAAGTGGCAGGACCTTGCCCAGCCTCTTGTGGCGGTGTCCTGTTGGTCGCCTCTGACGCCCTCTGTCAACCTCGTCCCTTGGTTCAGCCGTAGTGGCAATTGCTCCAGCTGCAGCAAAATGCAACAGCAAGTGAATGGAGAAAGACGCCCAAGTGCTACAGTTGCAATGTGCGGTTGCGCCTCAGACCAGACCATGGTGTATCACCTGCACGAGAATTCCGCACTTGCCCCTTGATTGGTGCCTGGCGGCAATCGCTCCAGCAGTGAACAGGCATGTAAAGTCGCTTGCGCAACCTCACTGAAAGGCATTGTCAACAGTGGCAGTTCTGCCTTGTGCTTTTCTTCAGCATGGAACTCGGCTATTAGCAAGCCGCAGTGGTGTGCAGCGCAATGCGTTCCGTTGCAGCAGTGGCCGTCGTTGTCGAGCCGCAATGGACAGCACTTTTGCCATGCAATGACCAAGAGGAGGCTGCGATCAGAGCAGCACTCCACAGCCCATTCCACAGGCGGCTGACCATTCTCTGGTGTGCTCTCAAGCTTCCCATGCGGGTCCTATGTGGACCATGCTGGCGCCATTTAGGTGCATGAGATTCAAGCACATGGACACGTAATTAATTCCCTGGCAAGGACAGAGGCACGCTGTTCTTTTTGCACTGAGCACCTGAACAGTCTGATCAACAGCAACCCAAACCCACCCCCATCCCTCCCACAGCACAGGCATGGCACCGAATTGCTCCAATGGCAGGCAAATGTTCGGACCCCAGAACAACCCAAAAATTAACGCACCTCAGAAAGGAATTCCATACCAAGCCCAGGCACCCGACATAAGCCACGCGGTACTTGAGTGGCACGTACAGAAAATTTGCCATGTTGGCCACAGGCCAGAAGGCTGTGCCGGTAACCATCGTTGGCCAGAACGCCCTTCGGACTCTTTCCATCGCACCAGCCATGTCCTGCCCCTCAAGGAGGCCCATGTACCAGTAGAATGCTGAAACATAGAGCGGGAAGATCGTCACCTGACCCACGACAGTCTTGTATGCTGCCTGGAGGCCAGAAAACAAGGCTTGGCTCAAATTTGACGGTTGCACTGTCACTGCTTACTTTCTTCCTGAGGTGCGATGAGTCTGCCGGGAGAAGTGCACCATACAAGAATAGCGTGCAGATCTTTGATGCAACAAACCCGTTCACTCTGTGGTGGTGGACACATTTCCAGTTTGGGAGCACATGGGCAGTTCGGAGCCCCCTCGTAGGTGCTGATTCACAAGTCGCCAAGGCTAAAAAATGCGAGCAAAGGATCTGTGTTGTGATGATTATGGTGGCAACGACTTCCTGCAAACAACAAGGCACATGGCCATTAAGTTCCAGCAGACGGAAGTCCCTATCATGAGCACAGGCTTTTGGTTGCCAAATCATTGCTACAACAGATCAGACTGTGGCTTATTTCCTACTATGGTTCAAGCATGTAACCAACAGAGCAGGACAGTGCTTCATGCAGAAATGGCATCTGTCACCGCCTTGCAGTTGAAAAGGCAGGGTTTTGCCTGTTTCAACTAGCAGATCATTATATCACATGTGCATTATCAGAATAATATTAAATCTGTCATATAAATGTCCGACATCAGCCAACATGTGAAAGGGCAATGCTGGCCACATCCTGGCAGATGGAGCCACTACGCATTTGGGCATTCACGGCACACCATTGACAGGGTGGTTGCTGTGCCAAGGCATCGATCCAGGAGCTGGAAGGCGTAATGAAAGGATGGTCCATGCAGAGTTAGCCCCACAAAGCTGAACCTTGCTGTGCGTCCCCAATCCTGCCTTGACAGCAGCATTCACACAGTCAGCAGTCCTGCCGTCCCCTAATGCATGAGAAGGATTTGATTTGCCGTGATGACTACTGGTGAATCAACCTGGATTTCCACAGACAGCTGCCACAGGCCAGGGCCGACAAGGGCTGCAGTCGCAGGGCCCCAAATGCTCGAGTTGAAATGGGCTTGCAGAACTGAATCAGCCAACCTATATAAGGACTGTTTCACGGAGGCAGAAGCTCATATGGATCACTACTAGGGAGCGAGTACTCTTGTGGTTCAGTAGCCATGATACTGTTTAGATGTGTGCCCTCAATGCCTGCAGGCGCAATTGCCCCCCGCTTTGCGTTGTGAAAATAACACAAAAGAATTTGGCCATGGTTCCGCAGCACGTACACCATGCATTTTGCCGTTCAGCTGTGCAATTCATACATGCTTTCACACTACATCCTCGGCAGGAAACCAGTGGTGGCAAAAGCATCTGCCATCACCTTCTGGCTGCAAAGGCACTGTTCTATTCATGCAAGGAGTGAGTTAATGGCGGAGTAAAACGACTCGAGTCACTGGCACTGTGACATCGCCCATGGGCGCATACTCTTGTGCAAACTTGCTGGAATTCCAGTGCTTTAACTGCACAGCCAGCTGCTGTGAATTTTCTCCAGTACTTTGTCCTACACTTTGCTCAGTGGTCTGTTTTTTGGCCCCTGGTGCTGTTATCCACGACAGATCAGGGGCAGGGATATAAGGTATCAAGGGTTGTCAAGGGATACCATTTGGCTTGGGATGAGGCAAAGAGTGCAGGGTTTGCAAAGATAATTGAACCTGTGGTGTTCGAATATTGCATTGGCACAATATTCCTGGAAGGCACAAGGCTGAGCTCCTGTCGTATTGTGACAAACATAGCCAATTTGGATTGTTCCATTGCAACTGGGGAATTTAGCATCGTGCATGTCGGTTACAAGATAGCCTTTCTATCTTTTTCAGCGGGGGAAATGCCCATTGTCTGACCTGCTTCTCCTTTTGGTTAAAGATCAGTGCCCGCAAGACATTTTTGTTGAGGGCTGCCCTGTCGAACGAGCGACTCTCTCATCACAACCGTGAGCTTCTGCATCACCTTGCAGACCGAAAAGAATCTCAACAAAATGCTCAGGACTGGGTGCGCCCACAGCCCGATGTGCAACATTTCTTTGAGGCCATATTCCCCAGTTCTGCTGTGTGGCCGTCTTTGCTGATGAGAGCACAGCCCAACAACCCACCCCTTGCTTTGCTACCAGCAATGCATTGATATGGGTGACAGTTCCCAGGGATCGATGCCCAACAATGGCAGCATGACGATTGCTTGCTGGTTCCCATCAGTCCCCAACACACCTAATCACACAGGGGCATCTACCGAATGCAGTGAACCCACCCTGTGCTGTCCAGCACTGGCCCCCTTCCCCTCCTACGCCACCTGATCTGCAGCCAAGCATCTTTTTGATTTGAACATAAAATTCTGGATTGAACCAGTGCAATTGCACCAACTGGCGATGTGCTTGTCGAACAGTCTGTGATCACGTCCAGAGGCACATAATTCCCAACATCAGCGCCCAACAAAAGACCCAACAAGGGCCAAAGCGTCGCACTGGAGCTGGTGACATCAGCATGGCAGGGCCAGAAGTAAGGATTGGCGGATGAGGCTCACTGCTGTCTGCTATTCGCGCTACCAGACGCTTCTGTAGCGCCTCCTACGATATGGAAAGAATTCCCCCCAAGCAGTCGTCAAGAGGGGACGTTCATTCTGTGCACTGCCCTCTGGCTGTTTCGTATTCCCAGGGATGATAGTCGACGCCCCTCCCATCGCTGTCAACCCGGTGACCCTTAATCGGCACCCACAGAATGGAGAGGAGTCCCGAAAAACTTGCCCACCCCATGATGCTCACCCCATGGTTTCCAAAGGACCCCAGCACCAGCGCCGCGCCCCATTTTGGACACCTATACTCACGTGCCACGCCCATTGCGCACATTGTTAAAAGGAGCGCGCACTGCGCCCCGCATCGCATGCTTTCTCCTCGCACACACAGAACTCAGCGGCATTTTTCAGAGCACGGACAACGTGTTCTCACAAACATCCCCCCTCAGGCGAAGGGCGCCAATCCCATGCCTCTTTTCCCCTTCCGCTGCACCCAGTATCCCATAAAATACAAGACCGAAGTCCCGTAAAAATATCTCATATATCCCAATTTCCCGATTTCCCGATTTCCCATCGGCGTTGCACCAACCTGCTGGGCTGCGCCGAGGCGCTGCGCTGGATCGCCTGGCAGAGGGTGTCCCCGGCGGCCATGACGACGCCTGACGTCATCGCAGCCTTGGCCAGAGGCGCGCGGAGAGCGCCCCTGAGGTGGCGCGCGAGCATGGCGGTGCGAGGCCCACTGCGGATTGGCGCCAACAGCAGGAACGAATTGGCGGTCACGGCGGTTGTGGAGCCTAGTACTTTGCGTCACAGCTTGGCTTTCCTTGCAGGAAAACTGTCACCTCTCCTCTGCGCAGACAAAACTTTGCCAGCGTTCATTTGCTGTCTGTGTGCATGCTGGGCTGTGGAGGGCATTTCTGCCAATGTTCAACTCCGTATTCAATATCATATGGACGGGGCCAGGCCACATACATGGGCGAGGGCCGGAATTCGTTGTCAGCTGTCGAATCATGGACGGTCGTGCATCCCTAATGGGCCTCAAGGCTTTGGCGAATTCCTGACTTCAAGAACTCGTGTTCCAATGTCGGCCTAATGTCCATGGTCTTCAACGCCGTCTCTAACGGTTTGCGTTGTGGTGCTCAGCGTGCACTAACTGCCATGAGACAGCTGAGATCAAGAGATTTTACACTTCCAGCAAAAGGCCTATAAAACTAATTGGATGTCCACTTGAACCGCATTGCTAGTAGTATCAGCGAACAACTTGGCTAGTAGTATTGGCAAGCAACGTCCTTTTGTCAACTCCGGGCTACACATGCACTGCCAGGTGGAACTGGACGATTTGGCACTCTTGTGTACATTCATTGCTTGGCGTTTGGCCTGTCTCCAGCCAGTGGGAACTTTTGCGCAGCACTCCCGCCTGCATGTACTCAATGCAATCGATCCCTCATCCTATATTCTAAATGGCACTGCATGCTAGAACGTGCCAGGAGATGCGTCTCATCGTGTTTGTACTGGCTAAAGCCCCATGTATCCCATATTACTCCTTTCCTTGCAACTCGAGCTTTTGAGAAACGATGGCTACCCAATTGCTTGTGCTTGGAAATTTGCAGCACAGAGCGAACGCTGGACTCTCTTGAAGGAGCGACTTCTAGTCGCCTGTTCTGCAGCGAATGCCTTATCACGTGCCACTTTGCCGTCATGTCGAACAGTTCACAGTCCAGGCAGCAACATAGGCGCGCCGTTGTGCAAGAACGGCAAGCGATGCAGAAATTTGAAAGCTAAATAAATCTGACATTGTCGTTCAGCTTTAAGGTCGGACTTTACGTCCTTCTCAAGAGGAGCTATGCCTTCTGGCGCCGTCCCTGGAGAACTCCGAGTTGAGACTCTTGTCCTGCTCGCTGCATGCCAAGGATTGGTGGCATGACCAGCCAACGCACACGCATCCTGCCGTACTCCCGTACTTTCGTACAGCCAACGCAACGTTCAATTTGCGGAAGGCAATCTGATGAATGGGAGAATGGACCATCGGATCAGCTGGGCTGCAGCCAGTCGGGGCTACAACCTAACACCGTGCGAATATGGCGTGAGGGCTCCGTTCTTTGGGGCCCACGCGCGCTGAAGCTGTCGCGCCCTAGCCCGCAGCTGCCCAGAAAGCAGCACGCATCAATCCGGCTGCCACATAAACCGTCCCGACATCTTGAAGTGGCAGTGACCGCTGCAAGGCGCTCAGTGGGCGTCCAGCGAAACAGCCAGCGCGCCGAACCCAGGCACCAACCAGCAACGCACTCTGCCTCTTTAGGCGGACAACCTTGCGGATTTGTAACGCCTTTAGCTGCGCTCTCCAAGCTGCGACGGTCGGGCCCCGATAGTGCCGCCGTCGCCAAGTCTGAGCAAGCCCTGAGGCCCAGGGCGTGGGAGCAACCGCTGCATCGAGGTACGCTCTGTCACAAGACTCGTTCAGTCCAACGCATGGGCCGTGCCGCGAATTCTGATGCGCCCGCACGCAACGCGTCACCTTTTGCTTGGCACGCACGAGGATGGCTCGCACCGGATGGGGGCATTCTGATTGGAGTGCTCCCCCAGGGCGCACCTGGGTGGCGTATTCTCTCGTGTGAGCCATACATGGGAATTGGTGTTGGGATTGGGTTGGTGGGCGAACACGACAACCAGGGGCGTTTGCAGGCTTCTGGCCCCAGTGTTGTCCACAAACCCCAACGGCCTGTTTTGTAATCAAATGGGGTTGCCAGGAGGCCTTGGAGTCCTCCACGAGATCGTCGGTTGGTCCCTGCGCACGGCCTTCGCCGCTCTTCGTGGACGAATTTCGCATGCTGGGCCAAGAGCTCCAGTGCTGGATAAGAATCGCTTCTGAAGGCCCGTCACATCTGCAGCCGTCTACAATCTGGGGCAATTTGTGGCGGGCAGGGGATTGACCCAAATTCCCTATCTTTGAGTTGTCGGCCGTGACCTAAACTGCCCACCATTACACAGGAATGGAATCCTCGCTGACAGACTGCAGCCAGGAATCATGTTTTGAGGATTCTTTCTTTGAGCGTGGTTTGGAAGCAACATCTTTCAGATCTTGTGTGAGAGCACCATTATCTCCAGAACTTTTACCAACGGGCACAGTCAAGGCCGAATAATCAAAGCGAAAATATCCACAACATCAACAACAACTTGGAGGACAAACTTGGCACATGTCTCCTGATAGAAGCCTGAATTTGTGTTTGGAATATCCTGCAGAGCGTTCTATTGCTTCCACCCACACAGCCATCAGGCATGGGGGCTGAACAATCCAGGTCAGCGCAAGAGCAGGCCCCTCAGGTCCCCCTGGTCTCCTGCCCAGAGCCTGTGTGTT